TATTTAATCATAGTATTAATAAAGTATAAAATTGTTTTATAGTATATACAATATTCAATGAATATTCAATGAATATTTGAATATTCATTCAAATTTTTCAATAAATATTTGAATATTAAAAGTATTGAACAAATAAATATTCGAATACAAATTTTTTGACCAGATAAGACCTCTATGTACAGCTCTAACGGCTTGATAGTTTCAGATAAAATTTGGCACAGACCAGCATTACGTCTCTATAAAGAAAGTTACAAAGCTATTTTTTATTAATTATGAAAAAATTCAATATATTATATTTTTTTTTTCTTAAAAAGTTTTTAATTATCATCTATGTATCTAAAAATTTTCATTAATAAATTTTATTATATAACCACATATAATTTTGATTTACATAGTATGCCACATACCTCACCGAGAAGTTATATTGTATATAAATAAGATTTATCATATATCATATGAACAAATCACTTTTAAGAACTACCAATTAAATACATTAAAAAAATAAAGTAGCAAAAAAAGCTCATGAAAGCCTACGTTTTATTAAAATTAATCAAAAATATTACAATATTTAATGTTATATAAGAAACAAATTTTATAAAAAATCAAAGATATGATCAAATAGGTAGAATTTGATAATTTTTATATTATTAGATTCATCTCAATGAAATGAATCAAATAGTATAAGCTTTATCAAATTCTGACCACCAGATCGTGAAATATCCTTGACTCAATACATAAAAATCTTCGAAATTAGACTAAAAATTGTGCATGTGATTAGTAAATATCATACTTTTATTGGACAGATCAACCCTAAGTAAGCGTGGGAAGTTTGTATTATAAGAATTGTCCATGTAAATTTTTGATTAGAGAATACTATGAAGTGGCATTTTCTGATAATCAAAAAAATTATCGCTGTACTAGTATGATATATCTTAGAATTATTATACTATTAGTATTATAGTATAGCGGTCATTGATCATAAGTAATATTATTTATATTTTTTTTAAAACTTCTTTAATTCATATAATGCAATGTAATATAAGTATGGATGACATATGCAATGTGCAGTATAACAAACATGAATGATGAAATAAAAAGAAAGTGATTTATTAACATAAATGATGTAATACTTATAATCAATAATAGACATGCTATAAAAAGTTGTATACAAACCAGTATAACCAACTTAGATTTTTTTATATATATCTAGATTCAAACCTGATCAAGTTTGTCAAATTTTAAATCAAACTCAGACCAAACTTATAATAATGTTTGGGTTTGGTTTAAATTTGATTATTTTGTATTTGGGTTTGAGTTTGAAGTTTGATCAAACTCAAACTGAGACTGAATCAAACATAGAAACCCTACATACTTCTATCCATTGTTATTTTGTCCAGCCAATTAACTAATTCTCGATTATATGTTAAAATATATATATATTAATAAAATTGTAATCTTCATATAAAAAATACATGTTTGGTATATATGTATCTTATATTTTATTTGAAACAATAAATACCCTTTTTTAAGTTCCTCTTTAATACTGTTTTGGATAATAACCTTTATCTTGATGAGGCGTGAATGTGTATTTGTCAGGTCAAAAAATAGTACATTTGGTTAATACAAATTCCTATACTACTATCTCCACCTACAAAAACAGCATTTTTTTTGGCTTCAATTTCATCTTTTTCTATCTACGAAATATGCAGAGCATATTTTTTCAGTTTCTACCAGTAATCCATCTACGAAACATGTTTGCACATGTTTTTTTGGCTTCTTCACCTATGAAACATGCATTACGCATATTTTTTCAGTTTTCTGGCAACCACCCTGATCTACCTATTAAAACATAGAAATGTTTCTCGGCTTCTCAACACCAACTAAATGCCAGAAGCATTACTTAGTTTTACCCGCCTACTGAAACATGAAGAGTATTTCTTGGCTTCGCAGAAGGGAAAAATTGCATTTATGTCAAAGTACTAAAATAATATTAATAGTAAGAAAAATAGATGTAAACTGAGATGATGATCTAACTGTTTAAAAGGCAAATATATCATTCTTGACCTGTGTAATGGGACTAGTGATTAAAGTTGGATAATTTTAGATGCATCAATCAGATTTCTTCTAATATTCACCTGAGATCTTGTATAAAATTACATGCCAAGAATTATCACGTTCGACTATCGACATTACGCACAATATTTTTTACAATGACTAAACTATCAAAGTGGCTCAAAGGAAATCTCAAAGATAATATTAAGGAAACATTTGAAGCGACTATTGAACATCTGCTTAAGTTAAACCCTCCTATAAAAAAAGGCAATAAAAGACAGGCCTTGATATCTTCATTACAAGCTTTGATGAAAAATGACGAATCCGTACATGAAGAATACAAATCCCTAAATGAGTAGATTAACATTAATAATTCTAAAAAAGAGAAGAATGAGAAAATTTAAAGATTGTTAATAAAGAACACCAAGCTATGTTCAAAAAAGCTCATGTTGTTTAGTACAGTATCTCTTATGGAGCAGGTTCTGCACAAACGCAAAATTCAAACAATATCATGAGTAAACATGAAGTTTCTACAGATATTAAAGAAGCTCAAGAAATAAATTCACTAAATGGACAAAAAGTAAAAAAAGAGATAAATAGACAAAAAGTAAAATAAGAGAAGGAGGACAACTTATTATCACGAATTCCACATAAGTTTTCATTCTTGGTATCCAAACAAGGTTCTTATGTGGAACCAATTTTAGAGCATGTTAAAAAAGCACTTTTCAGATTTGTTGTAAAGAATCGAGACTACATTTTTTCTGATACAGTAAAAGAATTTGCACTTAAATGCAACCCCCATGAAATATTGATTTTTCGGATACAGACATATTGTATCTTTTAAACTTCATTACAAAACATATTTCCTTGTTTATGATTTCGCATTCTGACCAAATGCTGTTTTATGGCAAATATAAATGAAAACCTTTAGATGTTCTTCAATCTTTCAAAATTGAGGCAAGAAACCACTATGCATATGATATAACAAAATCCAAAGGAAAATGGGACGATGAAAAATTACAAAGGCTCTCAACCTTAGCATTAGAGTTGGTTAATTGTCTTGGTAAGTTTTATAATAGATATCATTTATACAGTATTTAAATATTTATATGTTATTTATTGAAATATAATAGGTGACGAGAATACATTTGAGTCATTATTGATGATAAAACAGAATCTGAGTTCTGAACTCACAGAACAATATGTTTTACCAATGAAAAGAAGACACGAAAACAATGAGGATGAAATCCAAAAGAGAAAGAGGCACATGACTGATAAAGAACTCAGAGAGTTAATTGATTTCGCTCTAAACATAGTAAATAAACTTGAGCCAGAAAATAAAGAATATTTAAATCAAATTGTATGACTTGCGGTAGATAAAAATGAAGCATTTATAAATATTTGGTGAGCTTTAGTTATCTCAAAAGATGAAAGTGCGAAAATTCAAAAGTTTATTCTTTAATGAATATCTGCTTTAATATGGTAAATATTTCAAACATATATTGAATGTTTAGTATGATATACAACAGTTTAACTGATTGCATATTTTTATGTCTAACAGAATCTAAAAAACAAGATTGGAACAATTTAAGTTTTTTCCTATATGATATATTAATGTGGTAGAAACATTGGCAATATAAATTTCTATATCAGTCTTATAGAATAAGAATGTTTTTGCATCTAAATTTTATAGACATTAATATATTTCTATGTATTTTATATATTAAATTCCAAAAGCATTATAAAAATATGATGATTTACTTTTATGCCTTCACAGTATAAATAAAAAAATATATATATGTTATAAAATATATATATTAAACATTTGTCTGCAGCTAGATATTAAGTTATATATTATGAATTAACTATAAGTTGAAAATTCTGGATGCTTGATCAATGAAACTCTTAATTTTTTGTATTCTTTTGAGAATAACAATTTCTGGGTTTTTATCGTACCATATCTCAAGCAGGAAGGTTCCATTATCTTGACACATGCATCTTTTTTGCCAATCATGATTAATAATATCTTCAAGTTTCTTAACATCCTTATACCAGCTAGTGTTATGAAAACGATGCTGAGCCTCTTGCACTTCCAACACAATTTGATGTTTTTGGAAGAAAGCATCAAGCTCTAATCTATTCAAGAAAGAAGGTAATATTCGATCATAGGTTCATTATTAAGTATTTCCTTAGCTATCTGAATGCATCTAGTCTAGAATTTGCGATTTTTCTTAGATTCTCTTTTTGCCTGATCCTGCTCTAGTTTTAAAATTCTAGCCTTAAGCTTAGCGAAGCTCTGTTCTTAATGCTTCAAGCCTAGCTTTCTCATCAGTTTTTTTAGTTTCAAGCTCAGTGATTAATACTTTAAGTTCAGATGACATGATAAATAATATTTTTTTATATGAAAGAATTATTCAATATTACATGACAAATATAAAACCATTTTATTAATACAGTCAGATTTTTCTAAATGCATTGCGACGGGACTATATGTAAAAAATGAGTCAACCGTGCATTTAGAGAGGTACTGCATTTAGGGAAGTAAAAATCTATAAGTATTATATTAGTTGAGCCCAAGAGAAGGCCTACATTTAGGGAGGTTTTTTATAGGCATGCATTTAGGGAGGGTGCATTTAGAAAGGTCTGACTATATATTCAAAAAATAAATATAATTGTTTAGAATATAATTTACAATACATGATGAATTTTCTATGCTAAAACCTATTTATCTGACTTTCCGGTAAGATTGATCGATAACCTATGTTTTTTTATTACCTTTTTTCACTTTGAGAATCAGAATCTGGCTTCTATGCCTTCTCCAACAACCATGCAATATAACTGAGAACCTTTTTCACCTTAGCTTGCAAATCTTCATCATCATACACAATGGTAACCAGTTTTGATAGTTTAAATGATGGCTTCTTCTTATTATACAAACACTCTATAAAATACTATTCTTTTACATCTATAATAATTTCAAAAGTCTTTCTTGTAAAAATATTTTCTTCCATCTCACTTGCTTTACACTTATGGTTTGATAAAGCTGATTCAAGTTGCATGGCATTTTGAGCAATACTCTTGTAAAAATCCTCATTCCTTCTGTCACGCCAACCATTTTTGTGGATTGGAATAAGTCTATTGCAAAATTAACTGGGCTATACCCATTGGGCCCTGTAATATTTTTTTCTGGTCAAAGTTTGAACTTGCTCTCATATAGATTTATCCTAGCAACAAGGTAGATGCAAACATACTATGATTTTGATGCTTTATTCCTACTGATTGGAATAGACTTGAGACAAGTCTCCAGCTTGGTTATAAGATTTTGAAGTATTATCTAGAAAAAATCATTTTTCAAGTTCTTGTACTCACAAGTAAAAGGCAGAAATACTGACAATGATGGGTTATCTGATTTACAGAGTTCATAAAGCTAATACATTTTTGAGAAAAACCAATCCAAGAAAGCTTTTGAGGGCATTTCTATGAATACAGTAAACTTGAGATTGTTCTTTGATATGAATATGCGGAGCATCTCATGAAGGTTTTGATCATTATGAAGGAAGTATTTCTCTCTATCATTCATTAAGTTGAGTTTTGCCTATTATTTTCAAGTATGGGTGGTTGATATATCTTACATATATAATTTTTGAGGCCTTCAAGAGTTATATGCTCGATATTTGCAGTCTATTTATTTGCCTTCCATTTTAGTCTACAATGCAATGGCTCTTTGAGCCTACTTGTGACCCATATTACAAATAAGTTATACATAAAGGCCTTGCTAGGTGATATAGATAAATTTTTTATACAAAATTTATTCTAACATGTTTATGAATATCTTTGTTACATAAATAAATTATATAAATTATTACCAAATTGCTAATCCAGATTTATTTTTATTTAACAATAATTTTCACATTTACATTGCCTATATATTCCATCTATCACCTTTTTGCATATTTTGCAATATAGATATGAATAGTGATTGCATTCATCACAAACTTTACACCTGTGCTTCCAATCTATAAAGATATACCACTTTTCGATATAATTTGGTTTTTCTTTATTTGTATATATATTATTCAAAATTTTCATTTATATTTCTAATATTAACAGAAAAATAATATATACATAGCTAATCTATGATTCAAAATTTTTTTATACAAAACTATACTTTGTATTCTAACTAATAAATTATGCATTTATAATAAGTCTTGTAAGGCTAAGATCTCTGCATGTGTGAGGCTCATATAAATACTAACACCTGAGACAAATTTAGTCAAAATAATAATGATAACAGAAAAAAAAATACTACATATCATACAATATTTAAGGTAAAATTTGTCTTTTTACTCAGTTAAATAGTTACATGATATAAATATAAATTAAAGTGCAGTAGTCACATGATGATCACATGTGGGACCCATGGTCTTACACATGACTAAAGTGGTTTTTTATAGTTTGAATTTGTATAGCAGTAAGCTTTGAAATTGTATTTGTGCCATAAGATCTGATTTATTTGATTTTATTTATTCCAATCTTTTGGAATAACTTGTAAATCTTTATGGCCCTTTGTGTTTTTTTATGCAAATTATTCTTCATATTTCTGAAATAAGATGTTGTGTCATTGCATTATAAACCCAGTTTCTAGCAGTTTGATCACTAACACCCTTTTATTTTTCACAATATTATCAATTCTCTTTTCATATTCTTTCTTATAATAGTACTAACATAAAATTTCTTTTTGATTTGCCTTTATTACACATGTTTCTGTGCTATATACTTTTTGGTATAAACAAACTAAATTTTTTGATATAGAATTCTTAGAACCTTCTACAAAATTATCATTAATTTTGGCAAACTCCCCTTTAATAAACGTAGATAATTCCTTCAACAAACCTTGCAATGTATCCTGCTTATATGAAATTTTTGGAGATAATTGTCTTAATTAGGTTTGTGTGTGACTTTAGTGTTTTTATCTAGAGAGGTTTGATCTTCTGACTAAACTTGTGAAGTGACAATAGTATTTTTTTTATCTGTAATAAAGCTTCTCATCTGGTCTTGCAAAGAAGGTTTATCTACTTGTTTCTTTTGATTCACAATAGGTCTATCATCCTCAACTAACCCAAATTCCTTTATATACTCCAAAACATTATCATCATTTTCTATAGTATCAGTACTTATTTGTAATGCTTTGTTTACAGAGTTATAGTCTTTGTGTACTAGATAAAATTTACCAGAAGCATGTGCAAATTCTTCTCTAATTGTTTTAATAGATTTGGGGCAAACTAGGCATTTGGGGTTTCATGATTCTGTGCATATAATATGTTTTTCAAGGCAGGTTTGATGAAATATATATATAATCACAAGATAATATTGTGAATGCTTGAGATAGATATATTAGAATTTCTCCTTTGCAGATATAACATGGATTTAGCTTTGAAATATTCTTAGCATCAGGGATTTTAGATATATTTCCATTTCTTAGATAATTTAATAAAAGTACTTTGAGTTGAGAAGTGTTAATATTATCTCTATAATTATTTGTTGAACTTGGCAAAGCTTTGCTAGCCATATCAATAAATTTGAATAGGACTTAATTATTAAAACTTTAAAAGCTAAGTTTGTTTTATTTTATATATAAATACTTTCACAACTAAAAAAATAATTTGCAAATTTTCTAAAAACTAATTTTAGATTTGATGATCTATTTATTCAAAAATTATTTAGTATAAACCAAGAACTGGTCAATTTACTAGCAATTATAAGCGATTTACAAATTATCAATTTTCAAACTAATTTTAAATTTGATGATCTGTTAATTTATGAATTATTTAGTATGAACTAGGATTATTTAATCTACTAGCAATTATGAATGATTTACAAATTAGTAATATGTTAACCAAATGAAATAAAGTAATGATAATTCAATTTGGACAAAAAAACCAAGATTACTCAATCTACTGAATCTATTAGCAATTCTCAAGTTTATTAGCATTTTGATAATATCATTCTTGAGCATGTTTTATTAATATACTATCTGGTCAATAAAGCTATTTTCTTACTGTATACTAAATCATTATAACTAAGTTTATTTGTTTTTTCTATAAATGATATGCTTGTTAAATAATAATCACTAATCAATTTTTTTTATACTGATAAAATTACATTCACTCTTTCCAATGATCACTTGGACCAACTTTTTAAAACAAAAATTTTCAACAAAAACAGTAAAACTATACTAGAAAAGAAGACTATAAGACTGAAGAGAACTATAAACTAGTATCTATTATTTAGAGATAGTTCTTATATGCTATCTGCTAATAGGTTTAGAGCTTATCACTCACTGTGGGGATGGTACTTGTTATTTAGAAGTAGTTCTCATATGCTACTTGCTAACAAATTCAGAGTTTATCACTTACCAAAAAGAATATTAGCAGTGTGCTCAGATCTACTCGTTTTATTATTCTTGGCAAAAAATATACTCTTTTTTAAGAAAAGTACAAGGTCTATACTCTTTACTATCACCCACTTGTGCTTACAACAAAATTTTTGAAAAAAGTGGG